GTACAGATAACAGGCGACGTTGGCCCATCACCACCCCCGCGCGCGAACCCTCCCACGGCCCCCCCAGACGTGGTGGCCGCGGTGACGGTTTCGCCCCAACAGGCACTATGGTACCGCTTGTCCGGAGACTACAACGCCATACACGTGGATCCGGAGGCAGCGACGGCGGCCGGTCTTGAGAGGCCTATTCTCCACGGGCTCTGCTCGCTAGGTGCGCGAGTCGTCGTCGTCGTTTTTGGTTATGGTGTTGCACGATGTGGTGCGGCTCGATGTGGTGTTGCTGGCGTCGTTGTTGTTGTGGTCGTTGTACGGCGCTGTGCGGGTGGTGGCTTCGTAATTGAAGCCTGCACTCCGCGTGCGTGCTGGGCCGGTGAGCGGTAAAATGATGACCGTTTCAGAGTATTCGAAAGTCTCTCTAGTCCCTGTGTGGTGCCGGTACGTGCCCAGAATTCACCGGCACTATACCGGACAACCGCACTATCCAAAACAGGGACGTTAGCTTTTGGCATAGGAGTGGACTCGTACCCAGAGATTCGACCGGAATCACCGGGCATCGGCACACCGGCACTATTCAACCGGCGCTAAACAGGGACCTCTGTGTGTGTGATGAACGTGTGCTTGGTGTGTGACGAGCGTTCGTTTTCGTCATGAGCGTGCATGTGTGTGTACGTGTGTCCGATGAGCGTGCTTGAGCCTTGGGTAGTTGAACAGGGCCCGGTGTGCCTACTCCCTGGGTCCTTGTTCGGTTTTCGACCTTTTTTTTACTCACAGATACGGTCTCCCCCATTGCACACAAACAACGGTTTCCGTCAGGTATCGCCACGCGGGAAATTTTGCAGCATTTTTGTCCAGAAGATCTGTCTTCGGGGCTGGTATCTCTCTACTGCCGCTTCTCCAAGGCGGTGTTTCCGGGTGATGTCCTCCACGTACGTTGTTGTTGTTGTTGTGTCGATCACAGCGGTATAAACCGTTCTGATCTCTATCCTGCTGTGCCTCCACAAGATGAAACCTGATCCTCAACGCACCTGAGACTTGCGGCGCTCTGATCGATCGTCTCGGTGGTCACACGGATTATTTTTTGGAAATCCGTCCGGTCTAGTCCGCAGGAAAAAATTTGCTTACCCTTGGGAGAGGAATGCCGCCCACTAGTAGCACGCAGGCGGCCATGTGACCACGTGCCGAGCGTCAAGATCAGCTCGAACGAATGCCCCTGTGGTTCGGTCGGTAGTTGAACCTCTCGCGAACGGGCACGTTGTGTCCGAACACCAGCAGTGGATAGCGATGGATTCCATTCGTGTGTACCCAAGTTCGATTTCCAGGCCCGACTAGGGAAAGGAATTGCTAACCAGTCTTGCGATAACCATTACAGCAAGCACCCGAGGAAGGTGGAGAAAAACGAAAAAAGTCCTACAATTGGAGCTTGGAGAGATTGAATATTCTTCTCCGTGTCGGGACTATTCCGGTTCCCTGTTCTACGTCTCTTCCGTTCCGTGTTCTACGTTGCTTCCATCCCGCTGTGGGGTTCTTCGTAGAACACAGGACACCTACTGTTGTTGTTGTTGTTGTTGTTGTTGTTGTTGTTGTTGTTTCTCACATCAGCTCTATAGTCCACAAAAAATGGGGAGCCCGTGGTCTCAAAACCCGGCACATACGACGCCGCGAGAAAACAAAAAAACAAAAATAGGGTACAAACCACTCGGAAAAAGAAAACAAAATGATCGAAAGAAAAGAACATGTATCGCACCGACCGTTCGAGAAAAGAGCCCTGGGACACCGATCAAAATAAGTTGTGTGTCGTCGTGTCTTTGTTCCTTGAAACTCATTTCTTGTTTTTTTTTGTAATTTGTCGCTTGAACTACAGGTAAAAATGTGGGGACGAGCTGCTTCGCATGTGTGGAGTAGCGGCGGCGATGGCAACGATACCGGGAATGATCGAATGGGTTCAGCAGCAGTAACAGGGGCGGAGGGAGCACCACCAGCAGCGGGAGTAAACGGCGGTGCGGCGATAGGAATCGCGGAAGACGGACGGAGCAGCAGCAGCTCAGCCACCACCTGCGCTCGACGGGGGCACCGCGGATTAGTACCTCACCGAGGAAGGGTGTGGGGTTCTAGTACTCCTACCAAAGCGGCACGCGAGACCGAGGAGAGGTCACAACAACAAGGGGTGGAGGAGGTTCGGTTCGAAGTTTGCTCGCCCAGACTGGGGGGTGCTGTTGTCGTCGCCGATGGCAGAGCCGTCGTCAGGAGGGGGAAGAGGTTCGGGGAAGGGGTGCTCAAGGGGGGAGTGAGGGCTCCGCGAAATCGATCCAGGTTGTGATGGTCGGTTGATTGCTCTCGAAGTGGGTCTTCGGTGGGACGACGATCGGTGCTCACCGCAACCACGGGTAGCAACAGCACTTGATCGTGGCGAAACGAACAAGAAAAACACAGGGTGTTCTATGTGTTTGATTCTGTTGGGTGTGTCAACCAGGCACGCGCTGCCGGCGAATCAGCTACTTTTGTCGACCGTTGGTGTCATAACTATGGACATGTGTGCGTGATTCTTGTCCCGAAGTGCTCTCCGCAAAGCATACGGTCAAGGACAAGCCTGTGGCGAGAAAAAAATTGTCAGCGTCAAGGAACATCCATTTTCTTCGAGACACCAGCACGAAGAGGGCGGCCTGATTATGGGTGGCGGCACAAACAGCACACTTTCAGGGATTAGATGTAGGCTTCAGTGTCGTGCATCTTTGTCTAAAACGAGAGCCATTCAGTGCGAAGGTTACACATGACACTTTCCGCCAACACCGGGGAAGTGCTGCAGTGCTCTATCGATAGTGTGAAGTTGAGACAACACGACTGCTCACTGCTAGTAAATGGGTGCTGTCGCAACGGTCTTGGATCAATGAAGTAGAAATAGCGCCGTCGACCCGCGGCATACACATGACGTCATGTTGCTAACACCACGGAAGCATATTTTTGCTCATTAAAATGTTGATATATTGAGACAAAACAGCTTCCAAGTGCTGGTGAATGGGTCCTGTCGCAACGATCTTGCGTCAAACGAGGAAGTTGTACGGGATTACAGATGCCTTGGCTGGGCGAAACTGTGAATGGTGGCTTCGCTTCTGGCCGACGGTTGCAGAGGTAACTTCTCAGGTGACATATCTTCCCTCGGGACGTGTGTCCACACATTTTCCCACGCGAACGGATGTGCTCAGAACCCGTGAAGGTTTATTGACACAGTCATAACAAGCATATCAAGATACGCCCACTTCTCGGCGGCAAGATACCAAGGGGTTCTCATTGTTTCCGTTCCTTTGTTAACGGCTCATCAACACCAAACGGACACAGTACGGCACAAACATCAAGGCTAGTTCCGCGTGAAATCTGACACCCACAAGTAACAATTGACTTTCGTGTAAAACCTCAGTTATGCTTCGGAGTACCGGGAAACACCCATCAAAATTTGAAGTTAGCGCAACGTTACACCACAAATCTACATTCTTCAGTTGAAACCAACCCAAAAGCTGCCATTTCTTTTGAACACAATCACTGGTGGAGGCGTACTCGAGGACACGAACATCCTGCACGAAGTCCGCCGCTGAAAGGTGACCAAACATCTAGCCTAGCATGAAAATCCACCCTAACCTTGGCCCCATGACCAATCGCAACACACGACCTCGATACCCTCCTGCACGTGCATGCTCGTAAGCATCAGCAGTCTACAACTTCATGCTCGTAACCACAACAGTCTACACCTTCACACAGCAGACGCGTTATTTTGATTTAGCGGACTCGGGTTAGTCGATCTCCTCGATCTTGGGCCCGGCGTCCGCCTCGGCCTCCGGCGCGGAAGCTCCGGCACCGGGGAAACCAGCGCCGCTCATGTCGGGCATGCCTCCAGGCATACCCCCCGGCATGCCGCCCTCGCCGCCGGCCATCTTCTGGATGATGGGGTTGCACACGGCCTCCAGTTCCTTCTGCTTCTCCTCGTACTCCTCCTTCTCGGCGGACTGGTTGCCGTCGAGCCAGGCGATCGTCTCCGAGATCTTGGTCTCAATCGTCGTCTTGTCGGCCTCGTCCAGCTTAGAGGCAACCTGTCGATATGGGCATTTTCGGGGGAAATAAACGAAAGGTGAGGGCGAGCGCCGCAGGGGCATTTCGTGGAGCTTCACTGTGTTGGTAGGCCAGGCTTCGCGCACAACAAACGTCTGTGGCGACGTCATGAAAATTTCGACCACACATAAGCACCAAGCCGTCTTGGTCCGCACCCTTTCCTAGCGGCGAAGAGCTCACCTTTTCTCCTCCTCGTACACCACACACAAGGCTACGGGGGAAAGTTGATCCACGTCAAAACGAGAAGACACAGACCATTTGTATTCACACACACGACCCCGAGAGAACGTTGATTCACGTCAAGGCCACGAGATACAGGGTCAACCGAAAACACGCACCTTCTCCTCGTTGATGGTGTTGCGCATCGAGTAGGCGTAATTCTCGAGCGAGTTCTTGCCCTCCACGCGGCTCTTCTGGACGTCGTCCTCAGCCTTGTAGCGCTCGGCCTCCTCCACCATGCGCTCGATGTCGTCGGCGCTGAGGCGGCCCTTGTCATTGGTGATGGTGATCTTGTTCTCCTTGCCGGTGGACTTCTCCACGGCGTGCACGTTCAGGATGCCGTTCGCGTCGATGTCGAACGTCACCTCGATCTGTGGCTGGCCCCGGGGCATGGGCGGGATCCCGTCCAGGTTGAACTTGCCCAGGAGGTTGCAGTCGCGGGTCATGGTGCGCTCACCCTCGTACACCTGGATCAGTACACCCGGCTGGTTGTCCGCGTAGGTCGAGAACACTTGCGACTTCTTCGCCGGCACCGTGGTGTTACGCTTGATGAGCGTGGTCATGATGCCGCCGGCCGTCTCCAGCCCCTGCCCGAGCGGGGTCACGTCGAGGAGCAGAAGCGAGTTGAGCTTCTCCGACTTGTCCTGGCCCGAGAGGATGGCGGCCTGGACGGTAGCGCCGAAGGCGACAGCCTCGTCGGGGTTGATGGACTTGCACGGCTCTTTGCCGTTGAAGAACTCCGCCAACATCTGCTGCACCTTGGGGATACGGGTGGACCCTCCTACCAGCACCACCTCGTGGATCTGGCCCTTGGACATCTTCGCGTCCTTCACCACCTGATTTGGGCCGACAAGAAAATGTATTAAGATGAAGACAGTAGGGACTGGGGATAAATTAAAGATGCGGCGTTCTGTACGTACATACAGGGAGGCGACTAGGTGGCCAGGATGATTGGTGTTGCTGTCGTGATGTAAAGGTACAGTTTTAGACACGTCTGCGTGTCTCCCATGTTTCCCGATCTCTTCACTGCTGTGCAACATTTCTTTTTGGAGTTATTCCGAGACGGCGTACGTCTACCACCATGGAATTCACCCCTATCCTCGGTGAGACAAAAGCACCCATAGTTCCTTCCATTTATCTTTTCTCCACATCAAAAGGCTCCCAACGCCACCACCAAAGGAGAATGGGCAAACCCACCTTCTCCACGGGGGCCAAGCACTTCTGGAAGTAGTCCTGGTTCATGTCCTCGAACCGGGCGCGAGTGATGGTGGAGTTGAAGTCGATGCCCTCAAACAGGGAGTCGATCTCGATGTGCGCCTGGGTGGACGACGAGAGGGTTCGCTTCGCGCGCTCGCACGCCGTGCGCAGCCGTCGGAGGGCGCGCTGGTTGGTGCTCATGTCCTTGCGGAACTTGCGCTTGAACTCCTGCGGTTCGGTGGTGACAAGAACAGGGTGGATGAGGGAAGTTTCAGCGATGATGGTAAGTGAGGAGGGATTCGATGGTGCACCTTGTGAAACAGAGGGCTCGTGTTTGTCGCAACAGCAGCAGCACGGAAGCAGGCAATAGAGGCTGCAGTCAAGGGAGAGAAAAAATCGTGCAAACCTTCAGCCGCTACATGCCATTTCATGAAGCCTTACGGCACGGCATGGGGATACTACAAGCCGTTTGTTTCACTCTCCGTACAACGCGACAACCCTTCATTTCCCTGAAGTATGCGGTAACGGCGTACATACGGTGGATAAAAGAAGCGTACTGAACGCACCTGCAGGAAGTAGTCCACCATGCGATTGTCGAAGTCCTCTCCACCCAGGTGGGTGTCGCCAGCGGTGGCCTTCACCTCGAAGATGCCCTCCTCGATGGTCAGCACGCTCACGTCGAAGGTTCCGCCGCCCAGGTCGAAGATGAGCACGTTGCGCTCTTCGCCCTTTTTGTCCAGGCCGTATGCGATGGCCGCGGCGGTCGGCTCGTTGATGATGCGCATCACGTTGAGGCCTGAGATCGCTCCGGCGTCCTTGGTCGCCTGGCGCTGGGAGTCGTTGAAGTATGCGGGCACGGTGATCACCGCGTTCTTCACCTGCAGGTGTCGAAGGAAACCAAGTCGGTACAAGCAGATTTAGCGGGAGAGGCATGTGTTTCTAAGGACGGGACAGAGGGAATACTGATTTTCGGTTGTATACCAAAGAGTGAAAAAAGGGTCCTCTTACGGACTTACCCCATGGACTACCAGGTGGCGTATAAACTCACGAATAAGTCATGGCGAGTGGTCGTTGTAGAAAATGCATGGGCCACTGCAGAGATCCTTTCATTGAGGGAGGAACAGTTTGATTTTGATTTAATAATGGACACGGGTGTGAGTCACTGGTCTGTATGCCATATAGGTTCCACTTGAGGCCCTCTGTCCTCCGTCCAACTGTTCCTCCGCTGGTTCTGCGATCTTTCCGTGCGGCCCGCATGCGCATGTTTGTCACTGTATGCGCATAACCGGCTACCGCAATACTATAACCGCCCGGACATTTGTCTTGTCCTCTCACGCCCGGGGAGATAACGCCCCGGCCGTGCCGATGCTGTGCGCGTCACCGCGCCAGCGCAGACTAACTGTTTTTCCCTTTCCCTCTCTTCCCAGAGACTATCACAGACTCTTCCTAGAGAAACTGCTCTGTCCCGCTGTCTATCGCCAGCGGTCCCCACCGATCGCTCCGGAAGTCTCCTCTGTCCCTACAGTTGAGAGAAGGTTCAACCCCTTCCATCGGTCCGAGGTAGCCTACACTCTTATTGGCGTCAGCTGCAGGTTAGCCTGCTGTCCTCCTCATACCATGACTTCCGCCGATGAAATCGCCCACCAACTCGCATTGTCCCATTTAGCCACAAACGGCGAATTGCCCGCCGATCAACCCTGCGAACTCTCCGTCCCGCCGGTCGCAGAAGCCCGAGACACTCCGCCCTCCACCGGCGGCCACGTCGAGGCCAAGGGCTTCGACCCATCGAACGGCCCCTCCACCGTCACCACCCCCACCCACC